AGTAAATATATGCACAGTCAATTACTGATTGCAAGGGTGATGGTTCCCACTTGCTCGCGTGTCCCTGGGAAGACAGGCCTGTGGGTGGGACATTCAGCTTTCAAAAAGTCAAAGCCTTAAAAAACCTTCTAGGACAGTTTTTCTTTTCATATTTGGTAACACTATGTGTTAAAATCAACACAATGGCAACTAACAATAGTAGCAACAGTATCTTGAATGACATTTCATAGCAGTGCCTATTGACTTCCATGTCAGAATTGACTCAGTGGCAGTGAGTTTGGGTTTTTGTGTGCTTTATGATGAATGAATTAGAATTTAATTATATATTTACCTAATGACAGTTTCAGTTTTCCAAAATTATAAGCAATATTTCCCTGTACATTCAGTATATGTATATGTATCATTAAGGGAACAAAAATCCTTACAACAGAAGTACTTAGAGCATAGCTTTTTAAAATATATATTTTTAATTTATTATTAATTGGGAGTTAATATATACATATCATATTTCATAGTTCAATAACATCTAGCAGAATTGTACAATTGCTACCACAATCAGTGTCCAAACATTCTTTTTCTTCCTGGACTCCTTGATATCGTTTCCCTTTATACCCCCACCCCCACCCCAATCACCAGCCCCCATCACCAGTACCCCACCGCTGAAATCCTTATTCAACTTGCTGACCCTATAGGTTCATTATTCCTGGATTTCATATACCAAAAAACAGAAAAACATATAACACAACTTCAAGACTCCCAATGGCATAACACCTCTAAGATAAACCCCAGTGTGAACAAACCGAACCAAAACAAAGCAAAGATACCGAAGATGTTGAAAACCAGAGCAGGTCCAGCGTGCATCAAGGGGATCAACTGACCACGTTTTCACTGTCCAAGTCAGGTTTATCCCTTTGATCGTCCATATTTTTGTCTACAATGCACTAACCACTATCCTCTCATCCTTCAATTATGGATATAGGAAGATCACCGGAGGCTTATTTTCTATGTAGTTCCCACAAATGTATCTCGGGGCCCCACTCTCATCCATCACCTTCTGCACACTGGTTTCTCACAATTTAGACTCTGATACTAATACCGCCTTTAACTTCAGATTATATGGATTCCAATCCTTTGATGACTGATGATGGTGTGCTTCTACCATGTGGACTTTGTTGACATCTGTGTTAGTCTGGGTACTTTAGAGAAACAAATCCACAGAAATTCATGTATAAGAGTGAGTTTTATATAATGGTTAAGTGTGCATCAAGAAAACATCCCAAACCAGTGCTGCCCAAGCCCACAAGTCCAACATTAACCCATATGTCTGACACCAATCCACAAAGTCCTCCTCCATCTCACAAAACACAC